AAATATATATATATATATATATATATATATATATATATATATATATATATATATATATATATATATATATATATATATATATATATATATATATATATATATATATATATATATATATATGTATATATATATATATACGAGTGTTTATTGTAATACCATTTCATAATTTTACATTATGTTTTCAATCAAATAAATGCCGCCTAAGTATGCAGAAGATATATTTTCAACCCCTAAAATTTTGAACCATCATGTAAATAGTAAAGAATTAAAGTTTCTATATATTAAATATTTCATCATTTTTAAACATCATGCCTTGTGTCAATATTGATGGGTGTATGACTATGCTTATTAGTAATGCATAAACAAAATCATAATATATGTATTTTTTAAAACATCCATACAGAATAAGCATTATCATAACATTCTTTTTCTTTTTTTTTACTTTTAAATTGCATTAAGGGACCTTTTTCCAACCTTTCCACCTTTTTGTTAAGCTTAAAAAACACTTTTCTGAACATTTAGTTTGCAGTTCTATATTGTCTGGGTTGGTGTTTTATACAGGGCATCAGGAAAGTATTGATAGCGCTTCACTTTTTACACATTTGTTTATGTCACAGTCTTATTCTGAAAAGGATTAAATTCATTTAAATTCAAACAATCTACACACAATCCCCAATAATGACAATATAACAAAGAGTTTCTGAAATTGTTGCAAATTTAATAAAAATAAAAAAGCTGTAAAATCACATGTACATCAGTCTTCACAGGCTTTGCTCAATACAGTGTTGATGCACCTTTGGCAGCGATTACAGCCTCAAGTCTTCTTGAATATGATGCCACAAGCTCTGCTCACCTGTCTTTGGGAATTTTGGCCCATTCCTCTTTGCAGGACCTCTCAAGCTCTATCGGGTTGGATGGGAAGTGACGGTGTACAGCCATTTTCAGATCTCTTCAGAGATGTTCAATAGGATTTAGGTCTGGGCTCTGGCTGGGCCACTCAAGGACATTCACTGAGTTGTTGTTGTGCCACTCCATTGATATTTTGGCGGTGTGCTTTGGGTCATTGTCCTGCTGGAAGATGAAGCGTCGCCCCAGTCTGAGGTCAAGAGCACTCTTGTGCAGGTCTTCATTCAGGATGTCTCTGTACATCGCTGCATTCATCTTTCCCTCTATCCTGACTAGTCTTCCAGTTCCTGCTGCTGAAACACATCCCCACAGCATGATGCCAACACCACCATGCTTCACTGTAGGGATGCTGTTAGCCTGCTGATGAGCGCTGCCTGCTGTTCTCCAAACGTAACGCCTGGCGTTCACTCCAAACAGTTCAGTTTGAGTCTCATCAGAGCAGAGAGTTTAGTTTCTGATGCTCTGAGAGTCCTTCAGATGCCTTTTGGCAAACTCCAGGTGGGGAGTGTCTTCCGTCTGGCCACTCTACCATACAGATGCCTGATTGGTGGATTGCTGCACAGATGGTTGTCCTTCTGTAAGGTTCTCCTCTCTCCACAGAAGAACGCTGGAGCTCAGACAGAGTGACCATCGGGTTATTGATCACCTCCCTGACTAATGTCCTTCTCCCCCGATCACTCAGGTTAGATGTCCGGCCAGCTCAAGGAAGAGTCCTGATGGTTCAAACATCTTCCCTTTATGATGGAGGCCGCTGTGCTCATTGGAGCTTTCAGAGCAGCAGAAATGTTTCTGTAACTTTCCCCAGCCTTGTGCCTCCAGACAATCCTGTCTCAGAGGTCTACAGACAATTCCTTTGTCTTCATGCTTGGTTTGTGCTTTGACATGCACCGTCAACCCTGGGCCCTCATATAGACAGGTGTAGACTTTTCGGATCATGTCCAATCAGCTGAATTGAGCACAGGTGAACTCCAATGAAGCTGCTGAAACATCTCAAGAATGATCAGTGGAGACAGAATGAACCTGAGCTCACTGTAGAGCTTCACGATAAAGACTGTAAAAGCTGATGTACATCTGATTTATCAGCTTTTTTATTTTAAATAAATTTGCAACAATTTCAAAAATTCTTTTTCCACACTGTCATTATAAGGGATTGTGTGTAGAATGTTGAGGAAATAAATTTGTTTATTCCACTTTACAATAAGGCTGTAACATAAAAACGTGGAAAAAGTGAAGCGCTATCATTAATTTCCGGATGCGCTCTATTACACTACATAAACCTTGTAATAAACTGCAGCACATTTTCATTCAGACTTATTTCTCTAGATATTATTATTTCTTAAATATTATTTTATTCCAAATAACTAAGATGTCAATAAAAGTCACTTTGTTAAAGTGTAGTTGAATTTTTAACAACGGAAATGGACAGAGCAGAGATCAACATCCCAAAATGCAATTCACAACCACAAATAAACCCAAAACACACAAAATATGGGAACTGTTCATTAACATATATATTTACAGTGTATACATAATGTGATTTTTTTTCATCTGTATAATGTGAGTTGTGGCCAATTCAATTCAAATCACAGTCTAAATGAATTATAGGGAGCTTTAAATTGTGAATTTGGATCAGTGTTTGTGTTTTTAAACACAGAAAATATTTCTACAAACCTGCGCTGTGAGGATCTGAGGATGTATTTGCCACATATATTCCCGCCACGTACAGTAGAATGTAAATACATGACATCATCACTGAGGCAACAAGCGTGTTGGATTACGGAGCTGCAAACATGCAGGAAGTCATCTTTCTCAACTCCTGCCAGAGACATGAATGACGGTATGAGATGTATTTATTTATTCCTGTTATTTATTAAATTAGCCACTATTATGTTACCACTGTGTATAATGTGTATACACCACACCAGGAGATGTCACAGTTAACTTGCTGCTCGATTGTGTGTTGATCTGTAAAAGTGTAATACAACCCCAAATCAGAAAAACAGTGTGGAAAACACAAATCAGAAAGAAAGTAGAGATTTCTAAATTTACTTATATTTCATTGCAGACAATACAACAAACATTATTTAACATGTTCCTCATGATTGTTTTTCCAAAATAAACACATATCCCTATTTTGGTTCTTGCAGCACATTTCAAAAGAAGTTGTGACTGTAAGGCATTTAGGACTTTGCAATGTTGCTGTTCCACTTAACTCGTTTAGGGACTGAAGAAACCAAGTGATGAAGTGTTTAGTTTAGTCCCAATCTTCCCCCAAACAAGTCTTAAGATGACCAACACTACCGGGTCTTCGTTGTCGCATCTTGTGCTCCAAAATGCGCCATATATTCTCTATTGGAGACAGGTCGGGACTGCAGGCAGGCCAGTTAAGTACCTGTATCCTCTTCCTCTTGTATTCAATTCAATTCATCTCTATTTCTCTTGCACTTTTACACTGTAGATTGTGTCAAAGCAGCTTAACACAGAAGTTCTAGTAAATGTGAATGGTGGCAGTTCAGTTTTCAGAGTTTCAGTTCAGTTCAGTTTAGGTCAGTGTGGTTTTTGCATCTCGTTTATATACACTATAAACAGCAGCTACGCTAATTCTTTTCTTTATTCTCCATTTCCACCTGGAGATACTCATCCCAAGGCCTCCAGAGACTATGCAGCACCACTGATTCGATCCAAGACCAGCGACGAGATGATCCCATGGTTTCCATAATCCTGGACCAGGCCGTATCCTGAGCAGCTGCTGTGGTGGTCATGGAGGAGTGGAGAGCATGAGACTGATTCCTGTGACGCTCCAGGGACAGACGAGTCTTCTTTCACTGCTGAAAGTCCAAACACTGAAGAGCAAATCCATCGATGCGTAGCACCACAAGTCCCAAACCATGCAAGCCAGTGGCGACAGTGGAGAAACAAACTTCACCAATTGACCAAA